TTTGGTTATTTGACTTTGGCATTGTTTCTGACTTCCCTGTTTTCTGGTATCCCTAACTCCCGGCTTTTCCTTATCGTTGTGTCTCTTTCTGTATCCCTTGACCTCGGCTATTTCTGACTATTCTTTGGTACGTTAGTCTGGCCATCCGGCCATTCTAAGGTCTGGTACACGTTAACTATCAGTCCTCTGTGTTACACAATTCTACGTGCTGGATCATACTGTAATCCTGACAGTCATTTAGGCCCCGGGGAGAGTGCGCAGCTTAGCGGACAGGGGCACATGTATGAGTGTGGGATGGATGATGCATGATTGGCTATATGCTACATGTGGGAGTGTGAGATGTGAGGAAGTGGGTGGTGACAGATCAGACTGACCTCAGTGCCACTTAGGAGCCGGGCCAGCAACAAGTTTCCCACCCACCCTCCCTTTGCTGCTTTGGGCCCGGGGGGTTGTCACAGCGAGGCAGGGGTGTGTCCTTGCCAAATAAGGGATGGTTTGGTAGATTAGATGAAAAAGGGGGATAATGGCCGGGTCTCATCCTCCCCCTGTCTCTTATGGTGAACCTGGAGGAGGTACCAGGTTGGACGTGTCCCCACTGGGTTGTAAGTCGACCAGTGGGGAGCATTATGGTTGGGCCTCACCGAGTTGGTGGGGAGCCCTGAAAAGGAAGATGTTTTTATTGCCGAGGGGGGGAGGTGAGAGCCTTGGGGAAGTTAGATTGGCAAGGACGGTTTCTTTGGTTACTGTATGACTATATGCAAATTGTTTATGTTAATTTATGATATTTATTATTTCGTTATATGTTAAAGGAGTCATACAGTATTTGGTTGTGTTAATAAATGCTGTGGCCTGTTTTCTCCAAGAAGTTGTCTGTCGTTATTTGAAGGGGTAAGTTATGGTTTTATGGGGGATGAAGGGAATGCTATCCAATGCCCACTACGTACATACAAGACAGAACACTGACGAAACTGCTGAATTGCATCCTAACAGAATAAGAACAGTTTCTCCGTTCATGTTAGGACGCAATTCGGGACTTTGTTCAGATCGGAATTTCATTCGAATGAATGAAACTCCGATCCTATTTGTGCCGTGGCTGCATCTTGCAACTGCTTAGTAGATAACTCCCTAATTCCCAAGGTATTAGGGAGCTATCTACCAAAAGGCTGAAAGACCTATACAGGTGATAGTTGAAAAATTTGATTATTGTGCAAAAGTTTATTTATTTTAGTAATGCAACGTAAAAGGGGAAACTAATATATGAGATAGACGCATTACATGCAAAGCAAGATAGTTCAAGCCGTGATTTGTCATAAGTGTGATGATTATGGCTTACAGCTCGTGAAAACCCCAATTCCACAATCTCAGTAAATTAGAATATTACATGCAATCAATAAAACAAGGAGTGTACATAGAACAATAAGCATGCATATGGACTCAGTACTTGGTTTCAGCCCCTTTTGCAGCAATTACTGCCTCAATGCGGCGTGGCATGGAAGCTGTGGCACTACTGAGGTGTTATGGAAGACCAGGATGCTTCAATAGCGGCCTTCAGCTCTTCTGCATTGTTCGGTCTCATGTTTCATCTTTCTCTTGGCAATGCCCCATAGATTCTCTATGGGGTTCAGGTCAGGCGAATTTGCTGGCCAATCAAGCACAGTAATCCCACGGTCATTGAACCAGGCTTTGGTGCTTTTAGCAGTGTGGGCAGGTGCCAAGTCCTGCTGGAAACTGAAGTCAGCATCCTCATAAAGCTCATCTGTGGAAGGAAGCATGAAGTGCTCCAAAATCTCCTGGTAGATGGCTGCGTTGACCCTGGACTTAATGAAGCACAGTGGACCAATACCAGCAGATGACATGGCTCCCCAAATCAACACAGACTGTGGAAACTTCACACTGGACTTCAAGCATCTTGCAGTGTGTGCCTCTCCATTCTTCCTCCAGACTCTGGGTCCTTGGTTTCCAAATGAGATGCAAAAGTTGCTCTCATCAGAAAAGAAGACTTTGGACCACTGAGCAACAGACCAGATCTGATTTTCTTTAGCCCAGGTAAGACACTTCTGACGTTGTTGTTCAGGCGCGGCTTGACAAGAGGAATATGACATCTGAAGCCCATGTCCAGGATCCGTCTGTGTGTGGTGGCTCTTGATGCACTGACTCCAGCCCAGTGGCGGATCCAGAGCCTGATCTCGGGAGGGGCACTTGTAGAATATTTAAAGAAATAATCCAGGCACAATAACCACTACAGCTCAGTGTAGTAGTTATGGTGCCAGGATCCCATCCCAGAGTAAGTAGTTAAACCGTTAAGAACAGTTTTATATCTCTGCTGAGATATAGGGCATAGTAGCAGTGGTATGTGTTAGGGGTGAAGTGTGTGTGAAAGGTGCAGTGTTTGTGCGAGTGCGTGAGGGTGGCAGTGTATGTCAGGGTTGCAGTGTGTGTTAGGGGGCAGTGTGCGAGCGGTGCAGTGCGTATGTGTGTTTGAGGCAGTGTGTGTATGGGGGGGTGTGTATGGGGGCACTGTATGTGTGTGGGGCAGTGTTTGTGACAGTGTGTGTATGGGGAGCACTGTATGTGTCTGTGGGGTAATGTGTGTATGAGGGGCAATGTGTCTATGCGTGTGCAGTGTTTGTGGGGCAGTGTGTATGGGGGGGGAGGAAGGAGGGTACGAAGGCTTTTTAATCATTTTTAAACATTTATATTTGATTAAAAATAATTATATTTATGTCCCCCACTCCCTTCTTACCTTTACTGGGAGGAGGGGGGACATTTTTTGATCCCTGGTGTTTCCAGTGTGGTTTGAGTGAACCCTTCTTCCCCAGTCTGTAGGCACATTGCATTAGCTGGCAAGGGAGAATCTCGGAGTGGGCAGTTGTCCCGTTGCCCACCCCCCCGAATCTGCCACTGCTCCAGCCTCAGTCCACTCCTTATGAAAGTCCCCAACACTTTTGAATGTCCCTTTTCTGACAATCCTCTCCAGGCTGTGGCAATTTCTGCTGCTTGTGCACCTTTTTCTTCCACATAACTTTCTATTAATGTTATTTGATACAGCACTTTGGAAACATCCAACTTCCTTCGCAATTACCTTTTGAGGCTTTCCCTCCTTATGGAGGGTGTCAATTATGGTTTTCTGCATAACTGTCAGGTCAGCAGTCTTCCCCATGATTGTGATTCCCACTGAAGCAGACTGGGAGACCATTTAAAGCAGGGGTTCTCAACGTTAGTCCTCAGGACCCCCTACCAGTCCAGGGTTTAGGGATTACCTGGGTGTGTTTTTTTTTTCCCTTTTTCTAAACACCTGAGACACACCCAGGTAATCCCCAAATCCTGGACTGGTAGGGGGTCCTGAGGACTGGGTTGAGAACCCCTGATTTAAAGGCTTATAAACCCTTTGCAGGTGTTCTGGATTACTTAGCTGATTAGAGTGGAACACTGAGCCTAGAATATTGAACCTTTTCACAATATTCTAATTTACAGAGAATGTGGATTAGGGGTTCTCATGAAGTGTAGGCCATAATCATCGCACTTATGACAAATCACGGCTTGAACTATCTTGCTTTGCATGTAATGCGTCTCATTAGTTTCCCCATTCACGTTGCATTACTGAAATAAATGAACTTCTGCACGATATTCTAATTTTCTGAGTATCACCTGTATTGGTCTTTCAGCCAAATCTAAGTAAAGATTACCTATTAGTTTATTCTACCCCTACTTGCTATATTTTGAGTAGGGGCATGTCTATTAAACAGTGAGCATCCTATTGTCCCTTCTCCCGAGCCACATGAGTGAATGCTATTAAATGGGGCAGGAATGTAGAGCCCCTAGTTCCCACCCCTGAGCGGCGAAAGACAGTGTTTACATTACAGCCTAGTGATAATGTCACTGGCCACTCAGATGGCTGCTAGAGATCCTTCCTGGGTCATGGCTATCTAAAATGCATCAGTATCTCCTCCCTCTGCATGCAGACACTGACCTTTCCTCAGAAATGCATTGATTCAGTGCATGTCTATGATGAGATGCTGATTGGCCAGTGCTGTGTCTACCCCTGATCTGCCTCCTTGACAGTCTCAGCCAATCCTATGGCAAAGCATTGATTGGATCAGGCAGTACAAGTAAGATTTTACTACATTTAGGGAACTAAAGGGGGCTAGAGGGAGGTTTTAACACTAGTGCTCCTTTAAAGGAATTCCATTGAGAATCATGGGGCATTAAACAGTTGGATGGTCTTATTAAAAGATTAGACAAGTGCAAAAAAAATATATTTTGAAGCATAGGTGTGATGTATAGATCTTTGTTCCCACTAAGAAAGATGGGAAGTGTAGGATGGAGAGGAAATAAGTAAGCTATGATAACTAATTTGTTAAGACATTTAGGGGTTATTGCTCTTTAGAACATAAGTTAACACCAATCTAAAGAGTCTGCAATGTATGACAAAATATGCCCAATTTTATTGCAGGACCTAGTAACATAGCAAGAAGGGCATATCTCCAACCAAGAACAAAATTCTATGTAATGCCAAGGTTTTGCAGAGTGACATTGTAGAGGACTGTCAAGAGAGGCTCTGAAGAAATCAGGAAATGCAAAAGACAGTGGGAAAGGTTGGGTTGAGTTGTGGACAAGGCTGGGAATAAGTATGGTCAGGTGGAGCACTATCCATGTACATGTTGGGATCTGGCTAGTTAAAGTTAATTGGTCCAAAAGAATCATGCAAGTTGGCAACTTTGCAATTATCTGAAGGCCAGGTAAGGCTCAGTACATCTAAAATGGCCAATGACAACCCTATACAGTTCCATGATACTAGCCAGCCATCAGAATGGAGTGCAAAATTAGATGCACTGGTTTTAAAGTTAGCCAACCCTCCTCTAAAGAGAGTGACCAATAAGTTGAAAAAAAAAAAAAAAAATTCAAAAGAGATCCACGCAGCTTGTGCACTCTTTTGTATACTAAGTAGATATAATCCTTGAAATATAGCCTGACCCGTTTTGAGGAAAACACCCAAAACGCTAGAAATTAACACTATTGTCCCAGTTACTTACTGATGGCAGGTGTATTGTATTAATGCATCACATGTGGTTCTACTTTCCAACAGTAGAAGGAATTGATTAAACCATGTCCACAACATTAGCTCACAGAATAGATCAGATGTCATTTAGTTTATTTAGCAACTGTACACCAGAATGCACTAACAATTAAGCACACATTATTGTGGATTAGATGCCCTCATTTAATCACATTCCAGCCTACATTTGGAGACTGTATACATGTGATCCACCTCAGCCACTGTAGTCTTCCTGAGTGACCATCAGGTTGTAGTGAGTGACCCCTTTCCATGTTCCCTGGATGGTGGTTTCATAGCCAAACAGGGTGCAGATCTTGGCAGTGTATGGCACATCCATTTGTGCTTTTGTGACAGAAGCCATCATACGTATAGACTTTCCACCCGGCACCTCTACATCCGTGCTGGCTGAGAAGCTAGTCTGTAGAGAGAAACATTCATTAGAATGGAGGGTTGAATAGCAGGTGCTTAAAAAGAAAGCTTCCATTCATAAACACTAGTTCTGTTGATTGCTAGAGTGTGAGTCAGAACTAAAAGGTAGGGTCACTGGTAATGTTGAGCAAGACATTTGATAGAGAGATGGGCTTATACCGTCAAAAAAATTTAATTTTTTTTTAAAGATAAAGCAGACATTCTGAAGCAGTGTATAGGTGGAAGATGTAGTTGGACAAACAGGAACAGATTTAGAGCAGGGGTGGGAAACCTTCAGGCCTCCAGATGTTGTGGACTACATCTCACTTTATGCTTTGCCAGCATCATGGGAGATTTAGTACAAAACATCTGGAGGGCCAAAAGTTCAAATGCACATCAGCTTGCAAAATTTGCCATAAAAGGATACTCAGTGGCCAGTATGCAGACAGATCCCAAAACCAAGCTAGCATGACAGACACATACCTGGGTTTCATTGGTCTTTGAGAAGCTCCATGTGTGAGTGGTACTTGTGTTGATGGAAATGCTTGTCTCCATGTCACCTATAAAGGGGATTCCAGCTGTGAAACAGACCTCTGCTCCAACTTCTACTGTAAAGCCATGTTCCTGGGTAAAGCTGCTAGTCTCAGTCATGGTTTTGGTGAATCTAAGAAGAAAGTTGCAGAAAGGTGGTTATGGACTAGAAATTTTTTTACAAGATACACCACTGAGCTTGTAGAGTATACAGCTTACACTGAGTTGAGTATACCCTCAAATCCAGTAACAAGTTTGGAGTGACATTGCAAACAGCATCCAGATGTAGAGCAATAGAGGATATTAAAAGCTGTCAGAGTGTTATGGTGCCATGCATGCAATGAGTATTCATTAAATTGCAGAATGAACAGGAGATTTGAAACTAGACTATGCTGCATTTGAGAATCTTTGCCTATTTTAGCCCAAGATAGAATAACGTCACATTAATCCCTTCTGTAAGAGAGAAAGTCAGACTATTCATTCAGTATATACTTACGAGAAGGAGTACTTTAAGGGAACGCTGCTTGTATTCTTGTAGATTTGAGACTGGACCACCTCTGGCTGCTGAGAGAGTATTTTACCTGATGCAGGTAGGAATTCAAAGCTTACAACACTCTGGATGGTTTTATCAGTGGTGAGGGATAGAAAGCGGTACAGATTATAGCTCCAACCTAGATTCTCAGCCTTATCCAAATAGTTGGTATCATCTTTAGTTGGGATTTTCCCTTTATAGATGTTGCCATTGCGTGAATCCACACACCACAGTAGGTCATCAAGGCTGATCTTCATGAAGTGGGTGAGAATTCGCCAGCCACCATTTCCAATAGTGGTGCAGGAGTCAAGCCATTTATCGTTTGTTGTGGATGGAGGGCTTCCCACCACAAGCTTGTCTTCATCGGTCACAGCATACAGATTGCCTTTTTGGTCAAAGAAAAGCGCATCATGTTTATTCCAACCAGAGTTTCCTATCTTGGTTGCTTGGCCATAACGCCAGGACACATTTTCATTGCTTGGTGCTGGACCCTTGTAGAGCTCCCCATCTTTTGTAGCTGCATACAGAAGCCCATTTGGGTCAAAGAATAGAAATTTAAATTGAACCCACTCAGCTTTTCCCACTCTCTTGGCAGTAGAGAACCAATCAAGGTTTGCAGACAGAGGCATGGGCCCAGTGTAAAGATCCCTGCCACGGACAGCAAAGAGTTGCCCTTCAGGGCTAAACACAATCTTGTTTACATCATTTAGCTTCCCTACAGCAGTAGATCTGTCGTAGTAGCTATCCATACGATCCTTGGGCGGTAGGCCAGCTCTAGCTACATAGTCACTGCTGATGGCAAACAGGATGGTATCTGAAATTAGATGAAACATTTTACATTATGAAGAAGAACTGGTTGAGGTTAAGATCCAGTACAGAGCAACAGCAGGACTTCTCACAATAAAGTCAGCAAGTTTCTAGGCGTCTTACAGACTTCAGAATGTTACCTTCCACCTGCACATGTAAAAGTGAGGGCAAAAGTGCATCCTTTGATTTAGAATGGTATAGCAGAGAAACTTTATTTTACTTGTACACAAAGAATACCAATTAAGAACTACATACTTCCATGTCACCATTCACATGCACACAGCCGCCATCAGAAATTTTGGGGCCCCTTGACAAAGCACAAGGTCTGGGGTCTCCCCCCTTCCCCGGTCCCGCCCACGCCCTACCTAGTCCACTCAGTTATGCAGGACTGAATGTGGTCAGTATATTGGAAGGGAATTAGAATGTGTGTAATGATGTAGTGTTTGTGTAGCAGATGCAGTGTTTAGTGGATGAAATGTGGCAGTGTGCGGTGTTAGTGCAAATGTGTAGCAGATGCAGTGTGCGGTGTTAGTGCAGCATAATCTGGGGAGGAATGACTTATTCACCCTCCATGCTTACGTGTGTCCAGGGAGGGGAAGGGGGTCGAAGATTCCCTTCCTGGTGGTCCAGTGGCATGGGGGCCCCAGCACACTGCCTGTTCTCTCTAATAACTCACAAGACCCATGGCCTTCTGAGCGTTGCCATGGCAACGCTCCGCATGGCACAGGCCACGGGTCTTGCGAGAGTATTAGAAGAGAGAACAGGCAGTGTGCTGGGCCCCCTCTGCGGTAACAGGGAGCCCGTGGCTGCACACAGATAGCGATATGCGCTATGTGCAGAGAGGGAAAGTGGGGCCCGGGACTGCCAGAGCAGTCCAGGCCTGTGACAACCATCATGTTTGTCACCCCTGAATGCACAGAAATACAGACATTTATATAGCTTTAACGTCCCATTAGTGCGGCAGTTGACAGTGAAAGACTAATGCATTAAGCTAGGTTACATTGTAAGCTGGATGAAGTAACTTCCATCGTTTTAATTTCAGACATTGCATGACTGCACTATGATGACATAGCACCCTTTATTTCCGATTTCAGCTCGGATAATATAGAGCCATTCAAGACCAAAACAAGTTGACCAGTCCACTGAAGCAGGTCAGTTATTTTCCCTCTGCAACAGTTTCACCTTCAACATCAGGAGCATAAGCCACAACCTCCTTACAAAATGTTGATATTACACCCATCTCTAGTCTGCACACCTCAGATCTTTGTTGATGTGCTACATTTGGGGACACTTCCCCCAAACTGGACACATTTCTGACACTGTCACCATCTGAAGTAACATACATCTATTCCTGTACTCCTAAACTAGCACAGTGGAGGAGATCAGAGGCACCTTCTGTGGGAGAGCTCACCTACTTTCCCCAGTCTCAATTCCTCAGCGTTGAATGTCTAGTGAGAAACAGAGATACATGGTGGACAAACCCATTTTGAAGTAGGTTTCTCCTTATCCAGCAAGAAATGCATTGATGGAATGTAAAAAGTTAAAAAAAAAAAAAAAACCTATAGTAAAAACTAAGATAGAAACATAGAATGTGACGGCAGATAAGAACCATTCGGCCCATCTAGTCTGCCCAATTTTCTAAATACTTTCATTAGTCCCTAGTCTTATCTTATAGTTAGGATAGCCTTATGCCTATCCCACGCATGCTTAAACTCCTTTACTGTGTTAACCTCTACCACTTCAGCTGGAAGGCTATTCCATGCATCCACTACCCTCTCAGTAAAGTAATACTTCCTGATATTATTTTTAAACCTTTGTCCCTCTAATTTAAGACTATGTCCTCTTGTTGTGGTAGTTTTTCTTCTTTTAAATATAGTCTCCGCCTTTACTGTGTTGATTCCCTTTATATATTTAAATGTTTCTATCATATCCCCCCTGTCTCGTCTTTCCTCCAAGCTATACATGATAGCATGACAGTATAAAATGCACATTATTTTAGGATCAAATACCTGGTGTATCCATTATCACAGAGGTCAGAAAATCAACTCCTAGATCTCTGAACTCCCAGCAGACTATTTCTAAAAGTCTTTGGCTTGTGTAGATGAGGATTTTTTTTCCAGATAATGCTGTATAAAAGCCCCCAACCAGTCCATCAGCTTTATAGTCTGTGCCCCTCCCTAAACACAGCTGAACGTGGTTTGTTAAAAGACTCTGAGCAATGATCTGCTGGTTAATCTGGTAGGAGAATGGTTAGCTAATCACTAGACTTGGGCACAAATTCCTTCCAGCAGCATTGATCAAATCAAATGCCTTCCAGTTAATGGTCAAATTAATCGATTTGTTCTGAAATGGCTAATCAATCAATCGATTAATAAGTATCAGGGCAGCTGAAAGGGATTTGTGCACAAATCTCCTAACTACGTCTACATGTTAATGGACTGTACATAAAAAGTGCTTCCCTGCAGCTTGTGGCATTCATATGCTGCAGTTGGGAAACCACTAATCAAGGCAGTTCATTTGCAGTTCTTCCCTGATTCATATAGATATTTCTCTTACGCAGCAAATGATTTCTACATGCTACAGAGCAGCTCTTTTCCTGCACTGCCCTACAGCATGAACTCACAAGTGTCATGGAAAATAACCCTGCGTATGGCCACTATTGGGTCCAGTGAGGCTTTTGCTGTTGTTTGACGAATACAGAATCCAGAGTTGGAAAATATATAGACAAGACAATAGAACCCTACTTTATAAAACACATCCTCCAGAAACACTAGAGTATGTGAATTTCTATCAGAATATTATGTAAAGTTGCCAAAAAATATATATAAACACACCAAACCTTAATCCTAAATGTCATTTAAATATAATTGTTTGTGCATCTTTTTAATTTTCAATTCCTTAATGGGGATTTACTCTTATTTTGGGTGATGGTTTTGTAGAACGTAGAGTGTGTTAGAAGTAAAAAGACTTGATAGAATCCTTTAGTTAAACTATGGTCCTTGTTGAGCCTGGACATTTATAGATTTAGGGACAGTTTAGATTAGTGCTACTTTTTCTGAAAATATAGAATTTTTCTGGATTTTTACTGCTGTGTGAATGCCAGCCTCTGGGCTTCTGTTGAGATGGAGCTTTGTTCAGTTTTCTGTGTTGTAAGATGCAGTATATAGGGGGAGGAGACTGAATTCAGTGTTAAGCACAATTAAATTAACTTGGGTTTAATTCATGTGCTTTCTTGAAGAAATTAGTTTTTAATGATCTTTTAAAGGAACTGAGTCTGGGTGAGCAGGGAAAGGAGTCCTATAGGAACGGCGCAGCCCTAGAGAAGTCTTGAAGGCAGGTGTCAGAGGTGCGAGTACGAACAGGTAATAGACGCAGATCTTCGACAGAGTGTAGTGCCCTGGAACATTAGTGAGGATAGGTAGGTAGGAGCAGCATTATGTAAAGATTTGTAAGCAAGCACCAGAATTTTAAATTGAATCATATATCTTATGGGAAGCCGATGTAAAGACTGACATGTCAGTTGTGGGAAGACAGGAAGATGAGCCTCGAAGCTGCATTTATTATAGATTGTAACAGGAACATCTCGGAATGTGTAAGACCTCTGAGACACTGTATGTGTAGCATTGACCCAGGAAGCACCTCTAGTGGTCATCTGAGTGGCTACCACTAGAGATGTTACTAGGCAGCAATGCAAACACTGGCTTTTCTCTGACAAGGCAGTGTTTACATTAAAATGCCTGAAGGGGCAGACTATAAACACTGGAAAAAAAAAACTACATTAAGCTGTATTTGTTCTGGTAACTATAGTGTCCCTTTAAATATTGCACCAATTATGGTAAAATTGGTAATCTAATAATTATGCTTTATGTAAAAACGAAGAGAATGCTACTAGCTGTCATAACAGCCTGGTTTAATTCCCCAAACATTCATATGTAGAATCTAATAACTACAGGTTTATTTATTAAAGTGAGTTTCAAATTTAAGGCCAGAGTTGCAAAACTGAAAGCAGAACTTTCCACAGGATTTTCAGTGGTAGCCATCTTGAATCTTGCAAGGACGGATCAAGCACCATGGGGAACATTCCCCAACCAATGCAGGATTTTCAGGCAATGATCAATGCTTCAGTTGCGGCCTCAGTTGAAAAGACCCTACAACGGGTCCGACCCCAACCACATGAAGCGGGGTCACAAGAGGCTGATGCCACCCCAGTTTCAGATGTTCCATGGAGCCAGAGAGGGTTCAAATGTAACTGAAAAAGACCCAGTTCCCCAACGAGAGCCAAGAGCAGGGGCAAGGCCCCCTTGAAAAAACCCACGCCTCCGGCTATGTCATCAGACAATGATGATTCTCTCCCACCTCATGCTCTTGATGTGGTGGACGAATGGTGAGTGGAAGGACTGGCAAGACGACTCCAAATATTGAAACCATGCTGAGTTATTATTTTCCCGAAAAGAATACCTGCCTGCCTCTACCCAAGTCCACAGGAGATGGGGTCTTCCAGGATGTGCTGGGTGTACCACTGTTTGACCCACGCATTATAAGACACCCTAGATCATCTGAATGGACCCTAAAAGACCACCTGGCCCACTCCATTCATTATTGGATCCGCAAGGCACTAGACAAAGAGGTGTGTGCACGTCTACGGCGGAATGCCACCATCCCCTCCTACCAGACAAGATAGCCAACACAACGGAGTTTGACATCAAGGTGGTGGTCTTCATGTCACATTTTGGCAGGGATCCCTGTAAGGGTATTGGGAATGGGTTAAGGAACCAGACAATTTTACATCTCCACCTGGAATGCTTGGAGTAGTTGTTGTTTTGACAGGGGTTCAGATCCCTTTACAGGACCTACTTCTTCAATCATGAACTATATGTCTCATCTTTTGTTGTTAGGTCGTTCTTACAGACTTATGGTGCACTCGGATATTTTAGCTGCTCACATTCCACTTCAAGGTGCTCCAGTGGGTCACCTTTTGAGGGGAATTTAGTTGTCCAGGCCTCCCACACCCAAATATCCTTGTCTCTGGACATCGATTCGGTATTGCACTTTCTTCAGGACTGGCCAGACAATTTTGTCTGGTCTCTGCGTCAGCTTTCAGCTAAGCTCATGCTGCTGCTGTGCCTCATTTCTTTCTGGCATATTTCAGACGTTCAAGCGTTCTATGTTGACATTTTTTCCTTGTCTTTGGACGGCATTTCTTTTTATATCTTGCGCTGGATGAAGTCGGATTCTAACTCTGTTTATTATCCATTTTTTAAGGTGACCCCCCAGTTGTGCATCGTTAGCACTCTTTTACAGTACGTTGAGGTTACTGCGCCTTTATGGTCTGTGCCTTCGGGTCAACCCATAAGGCAGTCTTGACATAAGACTTTGGCTAGATGGATTTGCAGCCTTTGTCTTTAGCTGCACAGAATCCTGTTTTCGGGCTCAATCAGTTCATGGTGCGGTGGCATCATGAGCGCTTTTGGCAGGCGTGTCGTTAGCCGATTGTGACGGTACAATCCTTTACTCCGTCAAGCATTCCCTTCTTCCCATAAAATAAAATCACCAAGTAATCCACAGAGTAATAAATCGCTGGTATCGCCGAATAATCCACACATGAGCCAAGGCTTAATGCTGAATTTAAAATGGAGCAGTATGTGGAAATAAAGTGCAAGAGACAGTGCAGGCTGGCCACTCCAAGATAGGGATCACTCCCAACCCCAATAACAATATAAATAGATAAATATATAGTATAGTTAAAAAAATATATACCAGTGTGGGCGCCACAATCACAAGCGTATGAATATAGTTACCATATATGCAGACAGATGTAACCATGTAAAGAGATAAAAAATAAAGCATATAGTGAAGTATTTAATAACACATTTAAAAGAATGATATATACAAATATATGAACTCACAAATGTAGTGGCACAAAAAGGACTTATGTCTCAATTGTGCTAAAAGAGCTTGTTAGCCTCTTCCTGGGCTAAGTTCCCTTTATATATGGATCAGGATTCCCAGACCTCAGATGGTGATAATGGGTCTTCTCTCAGACGAACCTTAGGGTTGTATGATCCAAAAAGTTTCTGTGGGGATGCTGGCAGCTGTATATCCGCTCAATGCGTTTCGTCCTGTGGACTTTGTCAAGAGCTGTGTGTCCATTATTCTTCCTGCTTTTTAAAGCCTCAAATTCGCGCGGCTTTCATTGTTGCGCGCATGCGCAATGCGGCTAACATTTAAATATATGTAACCGCGCATGCGTGCACATCCAGTCTGGAACGCAGATAACTTTATTGACAATTTGCGCCGGAGGACACATTTCCGTTACGGACCACCTGGTCTTACGGAATAGTGTATAGGCACTTGGAAATCCACATTCAAACGTGCACAAATTCAATATAACATAATTTTATGCAGTTTTAGTAGCAATATTCACACTAAAATAGTCATTTAGAATTACATTACAAAAAAGTTTAACATATAACATTCAATATACATATATATATATTCCAAATCTATAATAATAAAAATACATACATTACACATTTAGAAATTCCAAAATTACTAAGGAAAGAAAAAACATAAAGGGACATATTATATGATATCATGTTTATGTTATTTTCTGTATCAACACAGAACAAAATATCAAAGACAGTTATAATGTAAAGTATGTAAAGAATTATACAAGATATATTACTTTTTATAATCATAATTTTTATAATAGTATTTTTAGCCTAAAGATTACAATCGCTATATATCTGTGCACATAAGGAATGTGGGGCTCAGACTGCCAGAGCAGTCCGGGCCCCCCAGGACCGCCGGGCCCATGACAACCGTTATGGCGCAGTGACTTATGGGGCTGGCACAATTTTTTTTCCAGGGCTGCTTTGTATCCCCAGTCCAGCCCTGGATGCAAAAAGAATTGTCAAAAGACCTGCGTAACAAGGTAATGTAACTTTATAAAGAATGAAAAGGATATAAAAAGATATCCAAAGCCTTGAAAATGCCAGTCACTCCTGTTCAGTCACTTATTAAGATGTGGAAAATTTGGGGATCTCATGAAACCAAGCCAAGGTCAGGTACACCAAGAAAGATTTCATCCACAACTGCCAGAAGAATTGTTCGGGATACAAAGAAAAGCACCCCCAGGTAACCTCAGGAGAAATACAGGCCACAGCTTCTGGCACTCTGTAATTTGGAGTGACAAGACCAAAATAGAGCTATATGGTCACAAACATAAGCGCTAT